ACATGACTAGTTTTGTCTACTCCAAGGTATACCACATGTACTCAACTCATTTTTTCTCAAGAATCAAATAGAAGCAATAAAAATTATACCAGAAATGTACCCAAATATTATTATATTTCTACTAAAATACAATTCAAGAATATCAACATTTATAAATTCTTCAATACCATTAGATGGAATTATTTACTGCATATATAGAGAGAAACCAATATTATTTCATCTGATTTTGAAAAATATAATGATATGGTTTTAAAAATCTTGAATTTTTTACCTACATAAATGACTAAAGCCTATAAGATATGATGAGGAATAAAACACTGTCTATTAACAATGGTTTTCACTTAACACATTTAAAAACAATCCTACCCTATTTTCAATAATGACAACAGCTTAATGGTTGCTTTACTTTGACACAGAATAATACAAAAAAAAAAACTTACAATGTAAAATAAATATTGTCATTGCTGTTCACTTTCTAAAAATGCTACTAAATGTTTACTGTAATAAAATTCCTATCTTAAGATCAGTTACCTCAAGCAGTGTACAATAAAAATATATATAAAAAATAGAACAATGATATATATTACATATTCTACTCACCTGTATATTCAATATTACACCATAAAAGTCAACAATACCATACTTTCTGTTGTTTACATAGAATTTACCTGTATACTCCCACAATAATCCTTAATGTCTTATATAAATAGTATATGCAACACCATTATTGTCACCCTAGATAATTTTTACTAATAACAGCTGTACTGGTATGATATATATGAAGAATGAAAACATTGGCTCTATTAACACCGTTCTTACTATCAACCTATCACAGTTATTAACCATAATATCACATTGTGAATCATAAGTCAAAGAGCAGGGTTGTTAGAGCTCAAGTGCTATTTCTATACCAGCAAATGATCAGAGTAAAGAATTATAAATTTATTAATAAGACTGACCAGAAAGAAGAGTTTCTAGTACTAATTCACAGGAACAAAAAATCAATAAACACATTCTTTGATTTAGGATTTATTGGATGTATGATACCTTTAATAATAGAGATAATTCACAGCTCAATGACAATATCTCTTTAGTTGGGAGAACATCGATTGCTGACAGGATAAAATCTTTTCTATTAAGAACAAAACATTATAATTAGGAAAGTTCAACTGTTACAAACCGTATAGTAATTTATTTATTTATTAAAACAGTACACAAACAAAATAAAACATGGACATCCTGCTGTCATATATGCTCTTTGCTAATTTTCCATAATTTTATCCTATAACAGCTTTTTTTAAAAAAAAAATAATTTATTATCATAGTTGTCAACATCTGGTTATGTGTAAATAATTAAATTACTTATTTAATGTTTATGGAGTTATATAATACTATAAGAGCTACAAAGGGAATATTTTTTAATACATAAATTTAAGTGAACTAAATTTCATTAAAATCAGATTCTTAAAGATAAAGCTAGCAATCTGAATAAAAAGAAAACATAATTTGACACAATTTATTTATACAAAAATGTAATTTTAAACAAATATTCCCATTATATATATATAAACATAAATTCTGATAGTAATACCACTCTCATAAATCAACCGAGCATGATTTCATGTATTCATGTTCTATTGTATTTTGGTGATAACATGCACTTCAATACTTAAAGTAGTTTAACAATGAGCAAGTTCGAACATGACCATAGACAAAACTTTTAATAAGATTTCTTTTCTATATGTTTACTTTTTATTATTATAAGGAGTGTTTGTATTGTATACATGTATATACAATATTAAAGACTGATATTACAACATCGTAATAAGTTAATATTACACAAGCCGACTTTAGGCCACATTCTTCTATTTTAAGTATATTTTAAGTTTATAGTTTATGAAAAACCACAATTCCAAAAAAGTCCCTTTAAACTGTATTTAAAAGTGTTTTTTATGCTCTAAATATAGATATAATTACCATTCAGATATATATTCTATGTTAATAATAAGACATCAATTATTTCAACTAGATGAAAAATGAAAGTGATGAACTCATTAAATCCGACCTGATATTTAGTTTGGAGAGATGGATATTATAATAATTTTAAATATTCAAATTTCTTTCAACGCAATAGTTAAAAGAAGCCAGTACAAATATATTTTAGTGCATAAAGCCTGGTTAATTTGGTGTGAAAGTCACTTATAAATGTTTATATAATACCTTTGCACCAATTGAAAGGGTCAGTTGAAGTGGCTTACAGGTCCAGAAGTGAAGGAGATGGGACAGGGAAGGAGGGACTGAAAATTTGATCACAATAACTGCTCTATATTACCTACCCATTGAGAGTCAAAATCAAAGAAGATTAGATTCGTCAAGACAAATATTCCCATTTATATCCCCCGAAATAAGTGTAAGTGTGAAAGTCAGTTTTTGGTATATTCAGTTAAATCTGTCTGCTGATATTTGGGCAAAAATAGAGAAATTCAGAGTCACAAACCGGCTCCCCCACACACAGATTTGAATTGGTGACAAGTTTCCCAAGAACAAATCCCTTCCCACCTTATCAACTCACTGTAGCCCACACATGTATCTTAATGTAATGTAGCTATTATTTTATCTTTAAAACACTGTAGTACTTCCTCTCGACATTTGATAAATATCTAAATTGAGTCAGTTTCAGATAAGCTATTTGAAAGAGTAAACACTTATATGTACAGTCCTCCACAAGCACTTGTTTGACACATGTTTTTGTTTTACTGGTAAATGATATATTATTGATAAAACACTGGTACATATTAATACAAGAAAGAAATGAGTGTGACCTGACAAGTCACATTATTTTTAAATTGCATTTCTGTTCTGCAGCATAACAAGCAATTTTGTCTATAGAAATGCCACAAGAACTGAAGAGACATGTATAGAAGAGATAGAGTGGTGACTCAACCTTTGTGTGGTAAAAATTATACCACCCAACAACCCCTACCCCACCCCCAAAAGACTAAACAGTGATTAATTGAGTTGATAACAAGGATGAATGTATGTCATAACTGGTGTCTGTCATAACCTTATAAGAAGTCATTTAGTTGTCTTTTTAAGAAAGATGATTCATGTTTATTTCTATATGCTCCAATTGAATTTTTATATTCTGTTATCATCTTTAAATAATGTCTAGAGAATTAACAATGGAAATTAAATAATTTTCAAGCTTGACAAGTATTTGGATAGTATATCTACATATACATTGTTTAAAAATCTGAATTGGTTATTTGGACAGTTTATTTAGAAAATTAGATCTAATTTTGCAATTAAATCTGGTTCTCCACTGTGGAACATACACATTTTCTTTATGGTATCCCCAGCAGCAGCCATTGCTCAATTGTTAAATTCTTTTAATATATCATCTTTCATCCACCATCAAATCAAATTACTAAATGTCTTAAAAATAAATTCAATGAAGTGTATACTATTCTATGTTATTCAGATAACCTGAAACTAAGAACATTTCATAGGTTTAAAAAAATATATCAATGCCTCGGTACCATACCTACAAGTTCTTAAAAATCATAAAACTAAAACCATACTTGCAAGTTCTCAAAAATCATAAAACTAAAACCACAATGTCCTGCCTTAGGCTAAGCACACATTCCCTTAAAATTCCCATACAAAAATATGCCTGCACATCTGCAGTTTTGCATAAACTGCCCGCAACAGCAAGTAGAAAATGGGTATAATTTTCTCACAGTGCACAATCACTATGAGGAACTCAGGAAGACATTTGTTTATGGGACATTTGCGGACCAAAAATATCCATTTTGTTTCGAAAATATGTTTAACCTGTGGTTTGCTCTGGCAAAAACTTTGTGGCACCCACTTCTATATAAACCAAAAAATAACCACCGATTCATTTTATAAAGATCTCTTTCTGACCTGTTGTCCAAGTGACTATCACATATTCATAATTTTAATTTTGTACATACTTTCTTAAAGTATATAATATATCATCAAATTTTTATGTATTTTATTTTTTACATCCACTTATTATACATTTTTCATTCACTTTTTATATATTTTCATGCATAATGTATAATTAATGTGATGCCCGAAAAGGGTGTTTTATGTAATAAATATCTATCCATCTATGATTTTAAAATGACAAGTTTAGAAAACGGAGCATCGCTGATTGCACATCACCTCAGTAACTATAGTGAAATCACAGCAAATGGAAACGTGTCTTCTTTACCAGTCGGCGAAAATGCCCATTGCGCTCAGGTCTCTATATGTTAACATGTATTACCTGGAATAGACTAAGATGTATCTTCGGTAAGTCATGTTCAGTGAAAAACCGCTACCGATATCTGTTTGGACAGCTACTTTCCCCATTCTCAACAACAGACCACATGCAGGAATATTGCCTAATTCTGGCGGCAAGGGACTAGAACTTTCACCTTGATATCAAGGTCGATAGAATGTAAATAACCGAGCAATTATTTCAGAAAATGAGAACTTGTCTCCTATTCAAACCAGATTATTTCTCTTTTTGAAAAAATAGTTGAAATAATGGAACCTCCCGAAAAATTAATACCCGACATTTATTTCATTCGCCATGACAGTATATCGAACATTATTAGATGTAAAGAGAAAATATGACAAATTTGATCTAATGTAACGCTAGCCTTTTTCAGACTTACAATGAAGTAATGTAGCTGTTTAATTAATTACCATTCAATAATAGTCCAGGTCTAATGGTTTGCCTACATGTCATCCATGTGCTATATACATAAACTTGAGTAACCATGTATAGTCATGCTCAATTCGTAACTAGGAACATGTATATGGCAGTTTTGGGTAAATTTATATACGTATTGAAACTAAACACAACTGATAGAAAGCTCATTTCACTGGGGGCAAATGGACATATAAAAACATTGAAACAATACTAGAATATACTAAAGTTAAAAGCGCTACATTTTATGTGTTTGGGTAAATATTTAAAACAAAAAATGGCATCGCGGGCCTTGCTAAAAGCCGTCAATTCTGCAAGATTGAAACAAACCAGGTTACTGTTGGAATCTGGGGCACCAACGGAGTTTAAAGACGAATGTGGCCAGACAGCGCTTACCAAAGCTATCTTCTTGGAAAATGATAAAACGCGCGAAAAGATGGTTCGACTGCTGTTATCTAAAGGTGCAGATTGTGGTCGCTTGGATGCTGTTGGTAGGACAGCACTGTCGTGGGCATGTCTCTTTGGACGAGAACCATCTGTTACAATGATTTTAGAATGTTGCGATATGGATTTAAATTTAAGAGATATCAATGGTCAGGCGCCTCTTTACCACGCGGTGTCCTCAGGAAATGCTGCTGTTGTTAAGAAAATGGTAATGGCTTTAAAACGATATGATCTAAGCGTTGATCTAGAAGACAACAATGGCGTTTCACCGTTGATGCACGCAGTACGTCTCGGTCACGATATCTGTGCAAGTATTCTTACCATTCAAGGTTGTGCCAAAGTGGGTCTTGGAATGAAATATCCCGAGGATTTCTTTAGTGCTCAAAAATGGGCGACCAAAAGTCTCCGAGACAGAGATCGACTGAATCCAAGAAAATCTCAATTTCCACCAATCCTTGCAAATAGAGCTTTTGTAACCATGAAATGTGCATCTCCTGTAGCAAATAGCAGTGCGCCCAAAGCACAATATACGGCAGGATTTTCAGACGATTCAGAATCTATTCAATCGGAAGATGACTATTCCTCGGATGAATTTGAAGAATATCTGTACACGTCAGCCATACCTCAGGATTATTACCTATCAAACTGTGGGATTCCCCAATCGATTCTAGCTGCTAGTCCCACAGAGAGCGATTCTACTCTTTCAAGTACCATAGATGAAGTTGATACCTATTCCACTATCATGGATGACAAGAAAATTCAGAAATCTGATGACCTTCCTCAGATGTTTTGTATCATTCAAGATCAGATGTCTCCTTCTTATAGAGAAGCGTCTACAACACTAGCAGATTCTATACAGAATTTATGTTACAATGAATCTCAATCCAGCATAAGTTCCACCTCAAGCAAAGGAAAACGTAAGTTAATTTTTTTATATTGCTTATATTTACGATTTCTTCTGAACTGCTTAATGAATTACATCAAAATTTGGTAGACATGATTTTTGCCATGGTGGTGGTTACTATTTTATTGAAATGAAGTTGCCCGAACCAAGCACAGGGCACATGTTTTAATGTCCTAACCCAATCCTGGAGCCACGGTGGCTAAGTGGGTAAGACGCTGGCTCGCTAGCCTAGAGGTAGCATGTTCGATCCCTGCATTGGCCCAGAAAGTTCATTGGTGGTGCAGGATGGGATGAAAAACTGAGGTCCCGTGTACACATTGGCGTACACATAAAAGATGTCTTGGCAGTCGAAATTCAATATAAGAGTAGGCCATAGTGCCGCTGTCTGGGCAAAAACTTCCCTCATAGCACACTGTATGGCGTATGCCGGTCTTCATTAGCCCAGTCGGAGCAGAACAGCAGTAGGACATTAAACCCCATTTCTTTTAACCAATTCCTAATACATGTCATGTATTTTGCCAAACATTTGGTAGCTACCTTATTTAGACGCTTTTTCAACTGTTTTGTACTGAAACCATGAAAATGTTTTCTCCCAGCATTTTGGTTATTTAGATACACTAAATTTAAGTTTCTAGCTTTCTATTTCTGGAGAAAACTGTCTGGGCATTGGGGCAATAATTAAATTAGAATTTTCCTTGAACATATATTGTGCAAGAGCTAAATCTGCCAGTGGCAGGTCTTTCTTTAGGCCTGAAATGTTATCTAAATTATTAATTATACATTAATAAATTTATCCAGACCATAATCAACTCTCGAAGACATCGCTAGCCTGCGATCTTTACTGGATTTGAATACAGTCTGTCATGGATGATTTAACGTCAAAATGGATAATCGAGACGTTTTTTATCATACCGACTTTAGTAATGATGATCGAGGTTAAGCCTATTCAATCACTAATATCTTGGTTCAGAGTGGAGCAATTTGGCTGAAACTTTCAACATATTCTTATTACGTTATCTATTATAGGGAGAACTGCCAGCTCTTTATTTAATCTCCCATAATGCCCTTTAAGATGGTCCAATAGAAATTTATGTAAACAGATTTATCCTTATAATCTATAACATAAGAGATTCTAATTGCAAAGCTTGTACATTAATGTCATGGTAATATGTCATCCCAAGTATTTATAAAACAAAAAGAAATATGAAACAATCCTAGCTATTTCATATTAATTTTTTTCTGAACCTCCCATTGCAATTTTTATTTTAATACAGTTAAAAAATCACTGATTGGGCAGAAATGGAATCAGCTGAAGCGAGATTTACGATTGCCTGGTAACAGTGTAGACGAAGAATCCGAGGATGATTGTACGGAATCAGATTCTAAAGGACATTGGGAAATAAAATCTACAGGAGACGACAGGAGGACATGCTTCCCTGTCCTTCCTCAAAGGAGCAACTTAGTACAAACTAATAATAACTTATAACAGTATTTTCATCATAGTTTGAAGTGTAAATGCTTGAAGGCTATTCAAGATCTAAATTGATCTGTTCATACAAACTCCAAGATATGAATACAAAAACCCAACATTTCCTTTTTATTTCTGTTTTTTTTTTTAATTTATTTTCTAAAAAAATCCATTTTCATTTATCTCAGTATCACAGTATATTATTAGCATGTTATGAAAAACAGATAATTGAAGAACATTACATTAAGTTAAATTATATTATTAATAAAAAATAATTGAAGAATATTACACAATAACAGTTTACTGAAGAATTGAAAGAAGTAAACTGAACAAATTATGAGTGAAAAGATTAAATAATTGTCTTAATTCTGTATAGGTGTATAAATTATTACACTGTTTAATGTATGCACTTAATAAAGAATGTGAGTTAATAAAAGAGTGGTACAATTTGTTATATTTGTCACATAACTTCATATTTGTTCATTATCAAAAAGTGCCTTCCTATCAACAGTAATTTGATCCAAATAATTCCTGAGAATAGATCTAAAAGTTAAAAAAAAATATACTCTAAAAACCGTGCATAAAATTATCAACAATTAAATTCATCTATATGAATTATTCATGGAATTAGGTAAACTCATTATTTTTCTGTAAGGCTGTATCATCTGATGTATGCAATATATTAGTTGTATTGTTAGTGAAACATGCTGATCTATTACCAGTCACAGTGTCATCTACATTGGTTGCTGTGCTATTTGTATTTTCATTAGTTTCACTTAAAGCTTTTCTCCTATCAGCCTTTGTTTTAACCAGGAAATTGTGACCTGTAAAATATATATAACATTAATTATACTGTATAATTATACAGCAGCAACTGAACATGTATCATGTATCAGTTATAAGTACATCCTTTAATTGCTTTTACACTATACTTAACATTCTGATTTGAGATCAAAGAGAATTCAACTTTGTTCTAATAGAAAAAAAGGAAATAGAGTCAATGTCACAGGGCACTAACCGGTATATTTTAATTTTACTTGCCAAAACAACTTTAATGTTGCAAACAATTTTGCATTTTCAAATATTTTGGTCAAAATAACAGTCTGAGAAATCAACAATTATTTAACATCCTTGTAAGTAAAATTATAAATATTTTTAATATGTATATACTGCTCACTGGCTAAGAACAACACAAATGATCTTAGTTTTGGATTGAATTTCTATATGAAGAGAATGTTGGGAAAATGTACAGCCCAAATGATATTTTACCTCAGCAACAGGATCCTTGAATGGATGCCTTTTGGTAATATTTATAAAACTTGGCCATAGTACATTCTTGTGGGAAAACCAAACCTATGTACGAATGATTACACTCCAAACTGTACACATTGGTTATTTACCCCAGTAATACCAAAGACCACTATTTTATTTGAAAAGTTTGATAAAACTGATATACAATGTATGTTTGATAACAGATTAACAAGCAGCTTAATATAATAATGGTTTTACTAAGATCTATAAAATAAACCAAATTTATTGTCCCAAAGAACTAATTTACAAAAGGTCACTCAGTTCCAAGTTAAACAAAACTAGAAAATACACTCTTAAGACCAACTAGAAATCAGCCTGATTTCTTCATGTTTAGGAATTTGACCTCAAAGATAATGAAAGTTTGTTGAAGAGAATCCTGTCATCAACTTCTCAAAGATAATAAATTGTCGCCCAATTATTATCTATTTAGATGGTGCAGTGTATAAGTGTCATATTACACTGCTCTATATTTAGAATATAAAAGCTAGATGATTTGGAAATCAGGTATGTGGGATTTTCAATTGAAATTAAAATTAAAAATGAATAAGAGAATAAAAGAAAATAATCAAATTGAATGTAGAAATAAACAGATTTAATAACAATTTAATATAATAATTATATCATGAAAATAAAATTGATTCAAATATTACATAAAGTAATAATTAGCTTATTTAATTAGATGTAGCATCTTGTTTTAGCCAGGGTATACAAACATAAATTTCAAATTTAAACCAAATCGGCTAAAAATTGTGACCTCTACACTGTTCACGAACTCAAAACGTAATATTTCGTACAATCGGGGGCCATAATCCATGAAGTTACAGTCCAGTACATGCCAATATCGAAAGGAACCGAGATCTTAGGGGGATTAACCTATATTTCAAGTTTCATTGAAATTGGATAAAAATTGTGACCTGTAGAGTGTTCACAAACAATTGTGGACGTCCGGACGGATGGACAGAGCCGACGACAATATACATCCACATGAAAATGTCAGCGTATAAAAATGGATTCAAATATTACATAAAGTACCGGTAATAATATGCTTATTTAATGAGATGTAATATCTACAGCAACTTCTCTAAGCCAGGCTATAAAATATCTTACACTATTTTACTCATATACTTTGACATTGACCAATTTGATGTTATCCAATTAAATGATTTTGGACCTTTTTCCTGGGGAGATTAATATTCATAAGTAAAATAAGCGTTGTTGAGCACATTATCTTTGTATAACTCTTGCCAGTGGCATTTTACATTCATCTATGCATATTTATTTCCATAGAAAAGGGCCTATTGAGCCATCGTACATGTATTATATGTGACTACAAGGTACAATACTATTTACAAACTTATCAATTATTATTAAAGAAAATTTGATCCAAAAATATCTTATGTTCGTTCAAACATATGAACATTTACGGATTTTTTAAATACAGGGAGAGGTTACCCCAAAACAATCTATTTGTTATTTAATATATAGCTTGAATATGAAATATATTTGGAAACAGGCGTTGCCATGCAAGAGACGCCAACATTTTGCAAGAGATGGACAGAGAACAAGCTTTAAAAACAGGTTTTTCGTACAATCAGGTATCATAATCCAGGCTGACACGGTCCGAAGTATCGACTGGAACCCAGAACTTTGGGATATAAACATATAATCGGACAAGATAAAAACGTGATTTCTCGTAAAATTGGGGGTCATAAGACGGGAAATTAGGTCTGATTTGCGTGAATATCAAAAGGAACAGAGATATTTGTCGGTAATGAAATATTTACAATACACTAAAATCTGATTAAGAGTAACAACTCGTTATGTAATTATCAGAAAATCATTGGAATTTGTTTGGCCCATGCTGACGTATATACAAAACACTTAATGTCATGTATTTAGCTGTTCAAGTTATCAAAAATCATTGAAAATCAATATACTTGTTCGTCTCAAGACCTTAAACTCTGTGTATCAATCTAAAGTCAATCGAAACTATTATATATAGGCGTAAACACGGTGTATGAATATAAAATCAATCAGTTGATAACTATCTGGCAGTCATTATCAGAAATCGTTGAAAATCAACCGGCTTCTTCGTCTGATGACCTTAAAGACTGTGTATATATTTAAAGTCAATCGGATATTAACTTTAGCCCCTAGAGCGTCCACCAGATTTTTCAAAGTGATAAAGGGCGATATATGTAACTCTGGCAGTAATTATCGGAATTTGGTGAAAATCAATAGGATTCTTTGTAAACACGGATATTAATTTAAAGTCAATCAGATATTAAATTTACCTCTAAAGAGACCATAACCTTGTATTACATACTTTTAGGCTATAGGGCTGTATAGAGAGTATTATAGAGGGATTCCCAAGTATAATAGTTGTACACTTTGTGTGGTTACAAGTGTTACCGATGTCATAGTGTGGCGTTTTGATCGTGTAAAGTATAGTATCATTACCAGAACTTTACCTTTACTTTAATCAGTAAGTATAACCTTTGTACTCTTTTATTGCTCAGGACTTTCTTGGAAAAAGTTAAACGATGCTGATGAATCAAGTCTGTAGGCCGAGGGGTTTGTTTTAACGGGTAATTCGTCGCGAGGTTTTATTTTTCACAGTGTACAGTCGTTCGGATTGAACGACAAAAAAAAAACGAAGGTCCCGTGTACACATTGGCGTGCAGGTAAAAAAATACCCTGGCAGTTGGAATTCGATATAGTGCCATTGTCTGGTCAAACTCTCCCCCATACCACACTGTATGGCGTACGTCCGTTTTCATTAGCGCAGTCGGAGCAGGACTTTAAACCCCTTTCATTTTGTTTCAGCATAAACGTCATCTAAAAACCGATGAGCGTAACAAGAGAGCGCAGCCGTCCGCCCCGGATTACTTCCTAGGTGCACCTATAATGCGGGGATTTTGTACCGTTTAAAACTAAAGTCAACTAGACTTGCTTGCAAGACTGAAGGCTTTCACCGTGCCAAGGCGTCACACGATCACCAGATGCATGACATAAGACTATCCCCACCTCTCACCCCCTAAACAAACACACACTCCCCCACCCCCCAAATAAAAACACACATTTGCATAACTCAGATATTGACATGTTCTTTGCATGCGCATTACGTTATAAGGGAATCGAAAAATAAAGTTGATCTACGCGAAATGGACGAAAAGCAATGTCGCAATAGATATTAATATCAAAGTAAAATGAAATGGGGTTTAACGACATTCTGCTCGGAATGGACCATGAGGAATGTTTCGAACGTACAGCGGCGCTAGCCTACTCTTATATACAATTCCAACTGCCAAGGGAACTTTTTTGCGGGACTTCGGAATCGTGTTCATGTCAGCTACTGAAATATGTAACTGGTTCAAAAATTAAATATCGCCAATTTTCTGGTTTCGTGCACGTTAAAGATTTGAAGTCACTAACATGTAAAAGTTTACTATTAATAACAGACAGGATCAAACAACTGAAGCAGTCAAGAACCAGGATGTTCGCGACTACTTTGTTTTTTTATATTTACTGATACTATCATATTTCATTATTTGTTAGCGTAGGACATTTTCATTTATATATATATTAAACATGTATTATATGTCTTATCATAGAAGTCTTATCATTTGATATATATATATACATTAAACATGTATTATAGAAGTCTATAGTGTTATGTTCTTTCGTAACCATTTGTTTAAATACCTTAATTGTTCGTACCTTTCTAACCAGGGTAATTATATAACTGTTAAATTAAACAATGGATAACTCCTACCTCTTAAATAAATTATATAATTAGTAAATAATTATTATCTAATGATTGTTGTTTTGTGACATATAGTATAACCAATATATACATTGTACTTTTACAATCAATATGATACTGCGCATTAGTCGTTTTTATGTTCTTATGATTTGAATTTCTTCATGCAATATTTGTAAATCGCCAGTAGGAACAAATGTCTCTTATATAGATACGTTATGCTGGCTGGAATTTGCACGGTAACCTATAGCCTTTTGGACTGCGCTGTATCATACGGTCTGTTATTACGTCAACTGGCTGGGTTTCGATTCCCCGGTTGAACGTGACAAGGAGTATGTCGCCTGTCTAAACTCGTGTGTTTTCTCCGGGTCCTCCGGTTTCCTCCCACTGCTAAAGACCCCTACGCGCAAGCGAATTATTGAAATAAATAAAAAATACACCATATGTTAGTCCCGAAATGATCTCTAAACATGCTCGTACAGCGGCGCCAGTCTTCTTTTATATAGAATTCCAACCGCCAAGGGATGTTTTACGGTCACACCAATGTGTACACGGGACTTCGGAATCGCGTTCATGTCAGCTACTAAAATATGTAACTGGTTCAAAAATCGATTGAATATTCAATGAAATATCGCCAATTTTCTGGTTTCGTGCACGTTAAAGATTTGACGTCACTAATAAAATATTTAATATTAATTATTGATAGAGTCTATGCTCAAACAACGTCATGCCTTTTATCACAGGTGCAAT